CGCAGGTCCACCTGGCCTGCCTGCACATCTGCATCCCGGCAGGCTCTCGTGACTACTTTCTGATCTTTAAAGAGATTCCCAATTCTGCAGCTCTCAGCACTTGGGACGCAAGAACTGTAGGGAGAACAGTGGGGAAACAAATACACTTTCTGAATGTACATCAGGTGGGGGGTGGTACTTTGTTTGCTTCTGATGCTGGAAATGGAAGCCAGAGCCCCTACCTGGGCGACCCCCGCAGCTACCTTCCCAGTCCTCAGGGGATCTCTTTTTGGTGGGGCGGGGGGTCCTTACAATGTCACGTAGACACTATACCAAAACTAAGTCAAACTGAAGTTCCTACCAGAGTGCATCTTTGTTTAAAGCTGGGTATTTGATTTTCTGAGTGCCTAGACCAGGGCCACAGTCCTGGATTCAGATCTCTGCAGGCAACATGGTCACCCCCATTGCTCAGCAAGAGAAATGGAGGTATTTGACCTTTTCATCCTTGGAAAATGTTTGCTGAGGGAGTAAAGTGTGTTCAGCCAACCTGGGCCTGATGTGCCCAGGCTGTGCTGCTCTGGGACAAGCTCCATGACAGCTGCCAAATTCTGAGCAAGAACCGGCTCTCCGTGGCTTGTGTCCCATCTCCGAGTCCCTCCCTCACCTCTCCAGTAATGACAAGCTCAACCTACATCTGCTAGGAGTGGAGAACGAGGACCAAGGCCCTCCTCCTCGGTTTCCAGGGCATTATTAGGTGCCCAGCCTTTTCCCCCTTCACGTCACTGCACAGCGGTCACCCTGTACCCACAGCCCACTAAGGTTCCTGCTGGGCATTGCACCCTTCCACAGGAGCTGTGGATGCTGTCTATGTTTTCTATAAACTCTAGGTTATACAACAAGGTCACAAGAAAAATGCCTCAGGATGTGTTGATCAAAATTATTAGTAATCTCCCTATTCCACATGCACACCAATATGACAATCGCTTTTCTCATGCTTAGAACTGATACTGCAAACAGCGAGATAACTCAGCAGACTAAAGCGCCTGCTCAGGCAAGCTCAGGGACTGAGGTTTGGTCCCGGACACCCAGGGCAGCCTCAGCTGGCCAGAGTCCAGGCATAGTGGTACACGCCTATAATCCCAGCACTAGGGAGGCTGACAACAGGAGGATCACCACAAGTCCAAGCTGCATAGTGAGACCCTGTAACAACAAAATACATTTAAAAAAAAATTTTTTTTAAATGACACCACATTGTCTCACATACTACGAGTAAACCCGAGTGGAAACGAAAATTAAAAACTAAGTGTGGGGGGCACACTGGAGCAGCAACTCACCAGCAATACCTGCCCAGCTCTCCGCACCTGCCTAAGGCTCACGACCATACCCACAGTTGCTCTAGCTGAGAAGTTGCTGGAGAAGTGGGAAGGGGTGGCGAGGAGGGAGAAGGGGCTCCACAACTATCATTCTAAGGGACTTTCAACTATGCTACATAGATGACAGCGAAGTTCCCGTGCACTGGGGCATGACTGTAACATGTGATACTCTGCCATCTTGGGAGTTTTTCAGAAGACTAGGAACAAACTTGAAAGGCTTTTGGTTTTGTCCTGCTGCATTAAATGGCCAGCGTCCCCTGGAGAGCTTCATGTATTTCCTGCAAAAAGGGACATCCTCCACGCTTCGTTACAGGGTGGCAGGCGTCCTTCATTTCCTGCCAGCAGCAGGCCTTTCTCCCTCTGGGGACCACAACCTTCCTGCTTGCATTCGTCTTCTAACATCATTCCTCCTCTACCAATGAATGCTGTTTAGCAGGGAAATTAAACACTTTATTCCGCGACCATGGCAAAGGAACACAGTTTAGAGAACGGAGGGGAAATCCTCATTTTCAAACAAGACGCTTGGAGCAGAGGTGACCTGCTCTTTCACCTCTCAACCTATTTCTCAGAATCAACTGCAGGCTTCCAAATGCGAACTATCTGTTGCCCGTTCTCAGAGGTCCATGAGGGCTGCCCATCAGGACTAACATGTGTGCACAAGAAATACAGAAGGCAGCTGGGAAGGAGCCCGATCATGGCCATCAGCGGTAGTCGCTGGGACTCCGACACCACCAGAGAGGAAGCTGAAGTGGCCCGGCCGGCAGAGCCTCGGCCCGCAGCCCCCCAGACCTAACGCGAGCACAATACAAAACACCAGCGCTGCATGTCTCAGAACTAAAGAGAAGTTTCGCACGGAGAGCCAGAGAGATGAGAAATTTTTTTTTTAAGAATGTGTGCTAAACAGACAATGTAAAATACAAGGAGGTTAACCTTTTCATGTAACATTTTACATCATGTCAGATGCAATTAGATTCTCAGTGATTAGAGACCCAGAAAGCCAACAGATGAACTATATGTAGAATGTACTTTAAAATGTTTTGCAGAGGCCAAGAAGGGAAAGATGAAGACAGACTAAGCTGACAATCTTGAGAGTAGGTAGGAGGTAAATGTGGGGTTTGTGACATTCTTTTATCTTCATAGTTTTTCCATAATAATTTTTTTAAGATGTAGAAGGATGTAAAGGACCCTGGATCCTGAACAGGCACTGGAAACCAAAAGCAACTAAAAAGTCGGTTCGATTCTGAGCAAAAACAGAACCAGGAAGGTGGGTTTGGGGTTAAGACCTCAAAAGTAAGATCCTAACTCAAAAGCAGAAGCATGTTGATCCCTGGTGTCACATCCCTAAAAGCATCCAACGCTCCCTCAGACCGGAAAGGGGAGTCCCATGAACTAGGCCCCCCACCCTGTTCGGGGCTGTGCAGGAGCGCAGGGGGTAGCGATTTCTCAGGGGAGATGTCCCACAGCCTGGCTCCAAGGGGCATGGCAGGGGCCCTCGGAGGAGCCAGTGGCAGAGGCCAGCCTGGGAGGCGGCAGGCCTCCCTAGCAGCTCCGGGGCGCCCCCTGAGGTCCAGCGGCGTCGCGGCAGCCTTGGAAACCCGAAAGCCGGCGTCTGTCTCAGCAGTGACATTTCAACTTCACCGGCCTCCAAAAGCCAATGCGTCTGCTCAGGCTACACTTGTCTTTCCAGCCAAATCGTCGGTTTTCCTCGCCCACCACTCTCTGCCCCTTCACTTTCCAACACCCTCGGTTGTAGGACGAGGGTAAGAGCCATTTGCCTCGCAGCGTAAGCATTCAAGAAAAAAAAGATGAAAATGATAAAAATGGTCCAAGCCCCCAGGTGGCATCCCTGGCAGTCCCATTTTGCATTTCAGGCATCCTCAGACACCAAGAAAAAGAAAACCGAGGTGGGTATCCTGGCTGCACCCCAGAGAAGGGAACGAAATGGAATTGGAAATTTGTCCCCCCACCCCACCCCGCGCGCGCCCCCATTAACGCGTGGCCCCTCTGAAGAGCGACTGGGCGCACCTGCTCCCCCTCGGCCCCCACGTACGTGGTGGTAAAGACCCTGATCGCTGCGAGGGGACGTGGTCAGCACACACACTGGGCAGTGGTCTCCAGGGCAGGGGGTAGCGATTTCTCAGGGGAGATGCCCCACGGCTCCTACTCGCGCAGAGCCCGGACCCTGAGAGCAAACGCCTGGGTGCCGGCGGCCGCATATCCTCCCTGGGCCTCAGAGCTGGGCTGCTGGACGGTGGTGGGCGCTCCGCGCGCCTCGGGGGCAGGAGGATCCGCAGGAGGAAAGGGGAGCGCAGAAGGAAAGCCGGTCCTTTCCCCTCGAGGCTGCTCCTGATCCCGCCAAGGGGGGCAACCGCTGCCCAGCTCCCTGGAGCGGGTTGCTGAGGGCAGCAAGGGCGCCCGCACCGTGCTGTGGGGCGCATAACAGGTCTGATGGACCCGCTGCACCAAAAGCAGCCCGTCAAGCCGCCCGGCGACAGCCAGCTGTTACATAGGGAGAGCCAGAACACCTAACATCTGGGCACGGTCTGTCTCCAGATTCAGATAACCCCCACCTCCAAGAGTCCAGAAACTGGTGAATGAGAAGGCAGAAAAACGGGGTATCCTCTATCCCTAGGGAGCATTAGACGAAAGGCGAGGCGCCCCGTTTCTCTGGCTGGGGCAGAGGACGTGGCCTCCATCCCTAGGAAGACAGCTCAACAGCTCCGAGGGAGTTGGGGGCGCTGCTGGAAGGGACAGCGAAGGCGCCCGGCCTCTGCCCCCGGGGTGGGGGAGGCTGTCTGGCGGCTGGGGGCGGGGGTGGAGGTCGCGGAGCTGAACGCTGCTACGGGCAGTGATTTATTATTGTCCTCAACGGCCAATACTGTTCCTGTCTTAGCCTGGCCAGCAGGCAGCGGATCGCGAACAGCCTGAGAAAGGGCAAAGAAAGGTATGCAAGGCGCGAGACACGAAAAATAAATAAATAACCCGCCCTAGTGCGCAGCACCTACCGACACCGACCCGCCACCCGCCCGCGACCCCGGCCCCTGCCCTCCCACAGCGTCCAGCCCTCGCGCCTGCACCGAGGCGTAGCCTGCGCCCCAGCTGGAGCTCGGTGGCAGAGGAGCCCCGACCCGGAGACCCGAACGCCGGAGCTCCGCACAGCCCGATCCTACACCGCCAGTCTCCGGCTGGCAGCCCCCACTCGCCCTCCCCCAGGGTCGGACAGCTGCGAAGCAACCCCACCTCTGGCCCCGAGCCCCTCCATTCCCTGCCAGGGAGTACCTCGCACCCCCGGAACCCACAGAAGCATCTTCTCCACGGCCCCCGTCTCCCGGAGCGCCTCCCAACTCCAGCTCTCCGGTCCGCGCCAGATCGGTCAAACAAGTCCCCATTCTCCGGACTCCAGCTCCCACAGGCCCCCACCTCAGCGCGCCAGCAGAGCCCGGGACCCCGACCCTTCTCGCCGGCCGGCCCCCGCTTCCACGCTCCCGACCCCGGCCTCCCGCAAGACCGCCAGCGCCAGGGCTGCCCGTCCTCCTCCCTCCACCCTCGCCGGGGTCCCTCGCCAGGCGCCCCGGCTCCGCACCCCGCAACAACTCCGCAGCCCCGCGCGCGGGGGCCGGGCCGCGTCCTCTGGCGGCCGGCACTCACCCGGGAAGCACACGACATAATGGAGCACAGAACTGGTGATTTTCAGGAACAAAATCCACCAACACGGTTCCAGTAACCTCCGCATGTCCGAAAACGCACATCGAAAAGCGGAAAGCAAGGGGTAAACTTGTTGAGTAAGTTCTCGCTTCCGCGCGAGCCTCCGCCAAGCCCGGGCGCTCTCCGGCTCGCCCGCCGCACGGCCGGCTCAGCCCCCAGGGCCGGGGAGCCGCCGCGCCCCGCGGAAAACCTCCGAAAGTGCCGGGGCGGCAGAGCCACGCTGCGGGCGAGC